TATCTTTTTTGCAGAGCGAGGGATCGGGTGTATGGATAAGTGCACCTGGTCGGGATATCTCCAGCTTGCATACCAGTTCTTTCTATAATCTTCCTCAGGGTCAAGTGACATTTTCACCCACACAGCCTGGGCATGGAACCTTTGCTGGTATTTACCATCCAACACCGCCAGTGACTACACCTACCGTTCACCCGCTTCTGCAGCAGTCCCAAAACATTGCAGTTCCCAATGAAATGGTGGGGCCAACAGGCAATGTCTATCAGCAACCACAGCATTCACAGATTAACTGGCCAAGCAGCTATTAAGAAATAGTTTTTCTTTTGTTAACCAGAAACAAAAAAGCTAAGCCGCATCTTGGATTTTATGCAATTGGCAGTGACTTTAGACGAGGAGGAACCCACAAGGTTTGGCAGATTAAAATGGTGAAGGTGGGAAGAAAAATCGGGCTAGATAGTGTTTTTGGTTTGGTTTGGTTTGGTTGGACCTAGGATGGAAAGAAGGGTGAGATCCTCCTCCTTTTAACAGATGGTGCCAATTGTAAATTAGTTGAGCTGCATATTAAATTGTTTGCCTTCACATAGTTAGCCCCTCTTAATATTCAGCTTATTAGATGGAATATGAAAGCCAAAAATTGCTTTATTTGCTTTCCTACTTTTTCCCCCTTTTGGAAGGTTAAGAACTCTGGAAAGCGACGAGGTTTTGGGTGCTTAGTAGGTTCAATTACATGTTTGGTTTTCTTCGTTGTGCATCTAGAGTTTTACATGTAAAGTTGATTTTGACGGCAAGAAAAAGGATGTACTCTAAATTGTTGTAATTGGTATTTGGTATAAGCAAAAATGTGGCATTACTTCGTTTTTCCTCTTTTTTTTTTTTTTTTTTTTTTTTTTTTTCAAAATTTTTCATAGTAAATATTTGCAACATCTTATTGGCATTCTGATGATTGTTGTTGCAAATCCTTTCCAAGTAGGGCCAGACGTTCTATGATTAGTTTGTTTGTTTGTTTTACTCAGTTTCCCATTGCAAAATGGTATTCAAGTCATCCCAAACCACTTCATTACCTTGTGAGAAATGTAGGTTTTACTTTGTTTCTTCTAATAATTCTAATATTCCATAATTAGATTGGATTTTGATTCATCAAGAAATTTCTGTGGCTAAAGGACTCAAGATTAGTTTTCTCAAAGCATATTTTATTCACTAGGAAGAATTGAGGCGATTCCACTCGAACTACAAGGTAGTAGGATTATATTAATTATAGTACACCGGAAACGTTAATGAATTTATTAAAAAAATTCAATTCAACTTCTTTGTAATGACATGAGAGAGAGAGAGACAATATTGATGTTCATATGAATCAAACTCATGACCTTCTACAAAGGTCATCTCAAATGGTGACAAAAAATGAATTTGTGACATTTAGATATAAAAATCATGTTTCACCTGTTTGGTCACCCCATATATATATATATATATATATATATATATATATATATATATATATATATCATGAATTTGTGATGTTTAGATTTAAATCTTACAAATGGAGGAACATATTGATTATTTATTTATTTTTTGAGTCTAAGGAATGACAAGATGAGTTAATTCTGAAATAGATAATAAATATCTGAAATCTAACAAATTCGTACAACATCTATAACATCTCCTCCAAGACATATTGATCTTTAAACATATAAAAAACAACTTCACTCGATTTTATGTGCCTTGATTATATTAAAAGTTTTTGGCCATTTGAACAATGTTACAAAGTAGCTATTGTTGTGGTATATGAAACTACATTAACCGGGTCGATTTACATTTTGCTCCGCTGACGATGTCGGCGGGTCTGAAGCCAGCAGCTCAAATCCTACCGTCCACGTCATACATATAAATCAGTATCGTCCCTTCACCGACGGCGCATTTTAGCAACAAGCCTTCTAGTTTGCAACCATAATCAAATCACCGCTGACTTAACCCCCCTCCCCCTAAGGAAGTAAGGAGCTCCACTCCACTCCACTCCACACAGAGAGAAAGTGTGGGCAATGCTTCGATAGATCATCCGCAATCTCTAAATGCTAGTAAGTAGTGACGCAATTTATATGTATTTGCTATAGATTTTGATTCTTTTAATGTATTGTCTGCTTATGATTCCTAGATCTGTAAGCTTTTCAGCTTTATTTTAACGATTGTCCCGTTTTCTGAGTACCCTTTACTTCAATTTGTAGATTTGTGGTCTTAGATTTTACCCTATTCGGCTGATTACCTCTCATTGCCTTTTGCATTTCTCTTTCTTGTTGTGTTTTAGGCCTAATTGTAAGATTAAATCAGCTTTTAAGTCTGTTATTTTCCCGATTTGCTTTGGAGATTGTGGTTTCTGAGGGTAGAAAGAATGATGGGTCGGTCAACGGTTTGGGGATCAAGGAATGCAGGTTTTAGGCCGGAGAATTTAGGGCAAGATGCACTGGCTATGATAAGGAACCTCGGTTTCACGGTATTTGTACTTGTGGTCTTGATTTTCACTATAATAGCGGCCACTTATCAGCCTGAAGATCCATTGTTTCACCCTTCTGCTAAGATGACTAATTTTCTTACATCCAAATCAAATGCCACATTTAAAGCTGATGACACGGTGGTAAAGACGGGGGAGGACTTTATTGGTGCAAATCAGACTGCATTTGCCACCTTTATTAACCTTACTGATGTTGATATTGCGATGCCAGTCACCGAAACTGAAACTGGTAATGAACTTGAATGCCAAGGAAAAACGGATGAGCCTATTGACTGTAAGGACCCGGATGTGTTCCATTTGTTGATGAAAGCTACTATTGAGAAGTTCAAGGATGTACATTTTTACAAGTTTGGGAAGCCCGTCCCTGGCTCGAACGAGACCTCCTGCCACATGGCATGGCGGTTTAGGCCCAAGGAAGGAAAGCGTGCTGCGTTTTACAAAGACTACAGGAATTTTGTGATTTCTAGGTCAGAGAATTGCACACTTAGCGTGGCTGATATTGGGGAATATCATTCAGGTGGGAATGCTAGGAAGAGGAAGAGAAACAAGAAAGCTGGGAAGTTAGAGGAGGGATTCGAGAAGGCTCCAAAGACAGAGGACCAGGGTATTGCTCTGCCTGTGCTGGGGGAAGCTGTGAACGACTCACTTCCTGTTGTGGAATCGGAGAGTTCATTCAGTCGGGGGAAGTATTTGATTTATCATGGTGGCGGTGATAGGTGCAAGAGCATGAACCATTACCTGTGGAGCTTCATGTGCGCATTGGGTGAAGCTCAGTATTTGAACCGGACCTTGGTAATGGATTTAAGCATCTGTTTGAATAAGATGTATACTTCATCTGGTCAAGATGAAGAAGGGAAGGATTTCCGGTTTTACTTTGATTTTGAGCATTTAAAGGATTCAACCTCCGTCCTTGATCAGACTCAGTTTTGGCAAGATTGGACCAAGTGGCACCGGAAAGATCGGTTGAGTCTTCATCTTGTGGAGGATTTTAGGGTTACACCAATGAAGTTAGCCGAGTTGAAGGATACTTTAATCATGAGGAAGTTTGGCTCTGTGGAACCAGATAATTACTGGTACAGGGTGTGTGAGGGAGAGACTGAATCTGTTGTTCAACGGCCATGGCACCTGATATGGAAGTCGAGGAGGCTGATGGACATAGTTTCTGCAATTGCATCAAGGTTGAATTGGGATTATGACTCTGTTCACATCGTGAGAGGTGAGAAGGCAAGCAATAAGGAACAGTGGCCACATCTGGCTGAAGATACTTCCCCCGAGGCTGTCATGTCCTCCTTGAAGGACAAAATCGAAGATGGCAGGAACTTGTATGTTGCAACCGACGAACCAGACATATCATTTTTTGACCCTCTGAAAGACAAGTATTCCACGCATTTTCTGAACGAATATAAAGATCAATGGGATGAAAACAGCGAGTGGTATTCAGAGACAGCAAAGCTTAACGGTGGGAATCCCGTGGAATTCGACACTTACATGAGAATCTCTGTTGATACAGAGGTTTTCTTGAGGGGTAAAAAGCAGGTAGAGACTTTTAATGATCTCACCAAGGACTGCAAGGATGGGATTAACACTTGCACTTCCTCTACCTAATTTCCTTCATGAAGTTCAAACTTAGCTGCTCTTGTGTTGGATAGATATGTGTAATTTTAATATACCATGTTTGCTCTAGGACAGTTTTGCTTTGTGTTTGGCAGTTCAAAACGTTTGAAGCTTCCCAAATCTTTGTACTTCTGGGGAGGAAAATAAGACTAAATTATTTTAATTGCCTGTGTTTATTACTTGTGTTGTTTGTAGTTGTACTCTTTGAATTCCCCCCTGTTCCTATACTTAATTAACTCATAATTTATCTTGTTTATATCATTGTTGTTTCAGCCATAAACTTGGCTTTTTGTTTCACTGACTCTGTTCAAACATACTTTCTTAATTTAATGAAGCATACGGAGTCAACAGCCTCTACTGAGGCTCGATTTCATGATCTCCCACATAAGAGAAGTCATTACATGTTATCTGAGCACAAGGTGCTTGGCATTAGTACTTCTCTTGATTGTAAATGAGAAGCAAATATTGCAACTATCAAATTGTCCCTCTATTTAACATCAATTGAACGGAATAACAAACAGAAGACTACATTGAATAAAAACACAAAAGTCTGAGACTACATTAGGTCATACAAGTCGTTTAGGACGAAATCGAGAAAAACCACCATAGTCCAGAACCATTTTGAGTATTAACTCTAATATAATTTGAATAAATCAATACTTTAATTTAATGTTTTATGATATTAAACAATTCATTATATCATATCAAGAGATTTTAAGATTCTATTTTTATTATTATAAAAAATTGAGTATTATTATTAATTATTAATTCAGAAAGTAGTTAAAAACAGAGGATTCACATTGACCAACAGGATAGGCGAGACCTGCGTAAACCTATTAGAAATTAAGGAAATGATGGACCAATTCTTTCAATAATACCCAACATTTTCTCTCCTATCAAAAATAGAAAAAAGAAAAAGAAAAATCATCCCTTGCAAAATCCTCCGTCTGTCTTCATTGCCTCTGTTTACCAAATTCAGGTAACAATATACAATCATATTTGTGCATGCATCCAATCCCACCCACCCAAACTAGGATCTCAGTATTAGAAATTTCTTGTTTTCATGAAGGCAATGATGATTCAAGATTGTCTATGATCGTCTCTCGTCTTGATTTACATGTTCTTGATAGTTCTCGGGGGTTTAGACCGAATGCTTTTACCGGTATTGATATTGTGGGCGTGACTCTATCCAGATTTCTATAGTTCCATCTAATTTTTAAAGATTTTGTGGTTTTGTTTCCAATTATTTGTTTTCTCATGATGTTTGGGTTTAGCATTGATCTTATTTGATTTGATTGCAAATTTATTGATTTATTTTAGATGAGCACAGTGTTCATTGCCTTCAAATTGAGATACATATACATCATATCTCTATACTTGGAATCTTATAACAAAGAAGAAAGATATAACTTTTCTTTGAAATATGGGTAATGAGAAATTGTCTATGGGGTAATACCTAGAAAGGGGATTTAACTTAGCACCAGGTCGGGAGTTCAAATTCATATGTATGCAATAACGCCCTTAGGAGAGCGTTTGACGGCCATCATGTTGATGATGCCTAATTGCACATTGCAAATTATAATGCATGATTTGGATTGGTGGTTTTTGAGGCCAGTTGTGTATTTTGTTCCTTAACTGCTGCCATTGTTGCATCAAGGATGGCTGAAGAACCAAGAATGTCAGCTGATGATCTCCCAAAGAAGAAGAAGAGTCTGCAGATAGCAGACATTTGTCTGGATCATCCTGTAAAGGGCAAACCACCACAGTTAAGCAACTCGACGCCATCTTCTCCGAGGCGCCTGCGCGAAAACTCGACTGTCAAGTTCAGCTGCCTCTGCTCCCCCACCACTCACCCCGGCTCCTTCAGGTGTCGGCACCACAGGAACCAGATACGCACCAGCATGTCCGTTGGTGCCAAGCTCTCTGAGATGGCTGCGGGCAAATAAAAGCATGGCCTGCCTGGCTCAGCTTCACTCGGGGTAGTTTTGCTTCTTGCAGTATACACTCATCTTGCGCAATATTTGTTCTGGTTTTAATCTGTTTGGACATGATTGTTGAGTTCTTGTGTTTGTTCTGTAAGCAGTTGTGTAATTCAGAAATACATGGTTTTTGAATCATCCTAAACTAGTTTTCTTCTTCATTAACTTCAATGAAACTACAAACTTTCCCTGTGCATACACTACTACTCTTTCAATCAAGCACAAAAGGGTTATTTCATCATTGCTCACACGGGAAAAAGCTCAGTTGATTCTTGAATGGTAGATTGTAAACAAGGACACAAGATCGAGCCCTGACAGTCGTAGTGTGTGATTTACACCCAATGTAATGAACTCCTTGTGAGCACCAGACACTGGTCCACCACTATTCTGTCAGGCCGGGGTAAGGGAATTTCGCCTTTTATGAGGGGAAGGGTTATTCCATCATCAACAGCTCGCTAAAGAGGTACTAGAAGTAAATATTCTGAAACAGCGTTGTTGATATATATATGTACAACAATGTATAGAAGTTTTGGTGAACCATCGCTCTGAAAGGACGCAAAGAGTGGCCGGATGAACATAGGTATGCAACTATGAAATGGTGAGGCCTGTACAGTGTACACTACTAAGCTGTACATGAGGACTTAATAAGAGGTTACGTTACTCACATTGGACAAGTATCTTTGTCGCCTTCATGTGGGACCATGCAATTCCTGCAGAGCGGGCAGGTGACACTCCAGCACCTCAGCCACTTCTCGAGGCAGAGCCTGTGGAAAACGTGGCCACAGGGTAAGCGGTTAATCTCTGCATCGGGTGCAAAGTCAGTTAGGCAGACAGGGCACTCTTTCTCTGAGTGGTGGTGAGGTATGCAAACTGAGTCGTAGCGAATTGTGGGAGTTTGGCTTCGGAACTCCTCCATGTATGACTCCGAGGGAGTTCCACGACATTCGAATGTGTCTAAGTGCCCCTCCATCGAGTACTCTTCACATGGTGCTATATGAATGCCGATAACATTAAGGATTGACCGCACTATCTCCTTGACGATGGAGATGGAAATGGCAGTGTTGACCAGAATCACGCATAGAACTCCAGCATCAGCTGGAGTCGAATAAGGCGAGAGACCCATGTTGGAATTGCAACCTAGTCAAGAAACGAAGAAAACAGTCTTTGAGAATGTGTTATGTGTGTCAAGGTTGCGAAGGAAATTCATCTATTTTCTACGAACAAACTAGAAATGGTCGCCACTTACAAGAGTACTTAAAGAAAGATCAAACCAGTACAGATGACACCAAGCTCAGATAGCAGAAATCAAATAAATCTTCCGAGGTAGCAAAGGGAATATACGGGTATCAGAAACAACACAGAATGTTGATATTATTACTGCAAACTTGAAGAAAAAAAGCAGTATATGCAAGTATTTACCTTGTTTACTACACTGTAAATTCTAGTATGCAGATTCCAGAGTACATATATTTAAAAGAGCTTGAAGCAGCTGGTCTGAAAAGAAGAAACACAATTCATTTTCATATATTCAATAAATGTTGAATAAGCTCACAGAAATATACCAATTATACTTTTATTATGTGAACTAAATAGGCCTTTTCCCAACACAAACATGATACTATGGCCAAAGAAGGATTACCTTTAGCTTAAGAGCCAAGTTATGGAAAACATAAATATTATAGTTCCTACCATAAGAACAGAGCTGGTGAGGAAACATGGTGAAACAAAACCCTAATTCAAGAATGAATATTCAAACTATATACTTCCATATCTAAGCCAAAAAAAATGGGACATTTCATCACCCAAATCCCAAAAATTTATTTTATTTACAAACCATATCCTAATTTTAAGATAACCCGCACACACAGATCCACTAATTCAGAAACTGGGTATCCATCTGTCATTCATGCCAGTCTTTCAAGAAAAGGTATGAAAAGTTTGGATTTTGAGAGCTAAATAGAACAAAACAATAACAAAACAGAACTTTTACTTCAAGAATTTTGAACTAAACAAAGGGAAATGTTCTTTTGGGATATTTCTCAATGAATTCTACAATTGTACCAACAAGGAAGAAGAGTTCATAAAACTCACCAAATACACAAGTGCAGAAGAACCACCCAAGGACTAAAAAAGTTGAGATCTAATCATATATCATACTACTTTCCATGTGAAACCCATCAAGACACAGGAAAAGAAGGAATTTGCACCCCATAATTGAAAGCAAAGATTCTTGTGAGCCCATAAAAGAAGGGGAAATAAAAAACAAAAACAAAAAAAAAAAAAAAAGCACATAAAGAAGAAAGAGATTCAAGGAAATGGGGGTGTAGTTAGAAGAGGCATAGGTTGCTTACTCAGAGGTGGTAAGGTGGAAGCTGGAAAAATTGAACCTTTTTGGTAGAAGCCTCGAACTTGACTCAAGTGGGATATGATTACTGTTTGAGCAGACGGGACCAAGAGTTTTGGAAGAGAAGATAGATAGAAGTTCTTGAAGTTTTGAGAGCTATAGGCTATAGAGATGGATAAAGATATAGGGAAGAATCCCAAAGGGGGAAGCAAGAATTAGATACCTAGAATTGCTGCAAAATGACATCTTTTTCACTCTTGACTCTAAAGGATGGCAAACAAGTTAACACAAATTTATAGTTTTTTTCTTAAAAAGAATAGTAATTTTTATAAATAAATAAGTCTAGTGTGACATCGTAGACATAAATTATTTTTTATGAATACATATAAAAGTATTAGAGTATATTTTAATTAAAAAGTATTACACATCTTACGTGAAATGGTCTAACACAATACTTATTCTTTATGGATATTTACTAACACACTATTGATCTACTAATCTGTATTCTAATTATATATACTTTTTTACTAACATCTTGTATATATGCCTCTATTAATCCTATTACAAGATTTAATTTTCGTATAAATTTCACATTAAATTTTGTAATACCTAATTGTTGTTCATTTGTCACACTAATACCTAGCCTAACATGTGCAAACTCACATTTTATAAAATCAAATCATGTCATGTCAAATTAAACTTTTTTTCCAAATATGAAACACATTAGATTATTATATGTACATTTTTTGATCAAATTTTATATATTTTCCTAAATTAATGTTGCATGAGTTGTGATTCTTTATCAAGATTATTGTAACATTGTTAAGCTAATTAACTAAAACATTGTGTGTTATTTTTAAAGATAGAGTTTATTTCTACATCTAATAAAATCTTTGTTGGGCGTCGGCCGATTGGCCAAGTTTAGTCCTTGCTCGATTGAGAGGTGACATTAGTTGTAGCTTACCATGTGATGTGGTTAAAGAGGTAATGTTCACTTACTCATCATTAATTGATTTTAAGTAAGATATGACAACTGAGAATTAAGTATAATGCAACGCTAAGATCTATCAATTGATTCGCCATATTTATTTAAATTTTGATGATTGTGATATATATGCATGCATGGAACCTAGACTACTTCATTTTCCCTCATCTCGTTGGTGCTTTATATAATTGTTTCAACTAATTAAAGTCTTTGAATCATCCACAACTTGGTACTTTTTTGTATGTGGACTATATATATGCTTAACAAATCAACTTCAATTTTTCGTAATAACAGCTAATTAGGTTAAATTGTCGATAAGTACTAGGACTAGGTATTCTGCTTTGGACAACTGTATCTTCTTGCATGCAAGCTAAGCATATATAGCAATAATAAAGTATAATCAATATGGATTTGTTGTGAGTCCATATAGGAAAGAGGAGAGATTTTTTTTTTTTTTTAAACTAAAAAATTAAAAAAAAAAAAATTAACGTAAGTATTTTGGCACACAAGTTATGTCCACGCGGGCATCTATTTTATTTTTTATTTTTAAATTTCTTTTCCCCGTAAAAAGTTAATTAAATTTACCAAAAACCTCAAAACAGCACTACCCTAAAAACACAGTACATTCTCTCCTCTTACCCAAAGCCGTAAAAAGTTTGGTGTTGGGATGCCCTAGGATAATTCATGTCTTAATCAACATTGATTTAATTATATGAGCATGATTAATTAGCTTATCAATTAAGTTTCTTGTTTTTTTCTTTTACTAAATAATGGTCCAACAATGCATGCATGAGAAGATTTAAGATTATTTAATTAGTTTTATGAAACTAAATCATTAATTATTGTAGTAATTAATAATTAAAGTGAGCTCTGCATAAGGAGACTATTGCTTGCTTAGGTGGTGTGAGAACTTAATGAATATAATCCATCCCCATATATAAACCCTTCTTTGTTTTTTGACAAATTATGCTGTGTATCCGTATGCACCATGCATGGTGCATACGGATGTAAAAATGACGTCGTTTTAATAAAATGCGCGTCTCCCCTTAAAAAAAAAATCAGGTTCGATTCCCAGCAACAACATATGAATTAAAATTCCATAATCGATAAACTATAATTCCATAATCGATGAACTATAATTTCATAATCTAATCTATGAGCTAAAAATTCCAGAATGAATGAACTAAAATTCCATAATCTATAAACTAAAATTTCAGAATCGATGAACTACAATTCCATAATCGATGAACTATAATTTCATAATCAATGAACTATAATTTCATAATCTATGAATTAAAATTCCAGAATGAATGAACAATATAATGTTGTTGCTGGGAATAGAACCTGAATTTTTTTTAAAGGGGAGACGCGCATTTTTTAATAAAACGACGTCGTTTTGGCATCCGTATGCACCATGCATGGTGCATACGGATGCACAGCATAACGATTGTTGTTTTTTCCCCATACATACCGGCCTACAATATAATTTCAACATATAAAAACTCTATATTAAGGGCCAAACTCCAAAGTTTGAGTGAAAAAAAAAAGTATTAAAATTTAACATTTAGAATGAAAAATATTATGAAAAAGTGTTGCTTCAAGTAAAAAGGGATTTGTATTTTTAAATAAATAAATAAATAAATAAATAAATAAATAAATATATATATATATATATATATATATATATATATATATATATATATATATTTAGAAGACACAAAATTTGATGAAATCTTTCCTCGTTATATTGTTGTCTCCTTTTGTATAGTAGGCATAGCATTATTTGATGGAGGCTGTCCAATCCAAAAGTTAGCCCAAGTTCTCTGAACTATGGAGATTATCATATATCTCTATAATCAATGCAAAAAAACAAAAACAAAAAAAAAAATCAGAAAATTTTGTTTAATATGTGATTTTCACGTGCCAGTTGTAAGAGGTTTCTCTATCAAGCATGCTCTATGTCTCCCTTCAATATAATCTAACCTTTACACATTGGTCCCTAATTGCATTAGCCACCATCACATGATGGGTAGTCCTTAGCCTTATGGGGATTAGGTCATAATTAATGAGTTTAATGTCTATTAGTATACTGATAGTTTATTTTTAGTGTATAAGACTATGTAATATATTAGAAAATTGAAATGAATATTTAATATATTAAAAATAAATATTTAATTTATTTGTAATTCTTCTAACAATGTGGATCTTCTAGTGTAATTTTAATTTGCCATTTATTTATCCCACTTTGTGACAGATAGTTTTTCAGCTTTGATTGATGGAACCTATCCGATCTAACGGCGCTACCCCTACATTCACCTTGCCTTTTTTGAGACAAGAAGCATGCAATATGCATATCATCATGATTCATATATGCGCCACCATAATAATTAAGTACAACAATTATTGCAAATAAATCTTTGTCTTTATATATGTATCCTCACAACGCTGTATTATTCCTACAAGAGGCATATGTTTAAAGTCCTTTAAAAAGTTTCAACCAATTAATTTGTGGTTTAAAATCAACTTGTAGACACTATTTTAAGAGTGTATATTAAATAAATCTCGCTTTGTGATTTTTTTTGAATGCTACTAGCTCTATTAGAGTGTAGTATTTGTTCATATACTTTCTCAATCTAAGGCTCCAATAAGGAGCGAACTCATAATCTTCCAAATGAAAGTTCAAACCGGGTACATTAGACCACATAGTCCTGGTCCCGCCTTGTGATCTTAGTTGGTTATCTTTGATTGACTCAAACCACGAAATTAAAGTCAATAAACTAATCCTGTTGGGAGTCAAACTTGTAAACTTATGGTTACCCAGTCAACAACTTAACCAACTTGACTGGGTTTCCAATCTCAAAACTTATTATTCTTCCAAAAGGCTGAACCCCAAACTTAGGAGGATGTAAATCATGGTAACTCAACTGAACATGAACCACAGAGGTTAGACCATGGTCACTGGACTCCCCTCAGAGTCACTGTGAAGGTAAAATCACGAGTTGAGCAATATTTCATTGATCAATTCTTAATATTCTTGTACGCACAAGAAATTCAATTCAGACCTTCTAGTATCCTTGAGCCTTTGGCATTCAAACCCCCACATACTACCATCTCTCATCATGATCAAGTCAGGTGACGAACCAACTACACTAAGCCCAGTAGTCTCTAAACTTATTATTGATTTTTATAGTGGAGTAACATAAATATAAAATATGATTAAGCCAATTCATCAAGAAGCTAAGGTATATTTTATTACATTGGGTAGATAGATTCCTCCTCTTCAAGAAGAGGTACAACGTTAGCCCTACAAAGAGGGCAACTTAAATTGCAATGCCTCACCCATGTCTCCATGCACACCACATGGAAGGCATGTCCACACACCAACTTGTACACCCAACCATCTCCATCTTCCTCAAACAGTTCCTCAAGGCAAACCAAACATTCCTCCCCGGTTTCCCTGCCGGAATCGTACCGCCGAACCGGATGGCTCGCCTTCTTGAACGCGCTAACGTAAAATTCCGAGGGACTTATGGGGGTTTCCGGCGAGCTCAGCGCCTCGACGGACCCATCATATTCCCACTTGGAGATGCTTATTCCGGCATATCCAACAATGCAAACAAGGACTTCCTTTATAATGGAAACCACGGCGGCGAAGCTCATTAGAACTCTGCATGGGATTCCGGCATCAGATGACGACGGTGAATAAGGTAGCAAGCCCATGGTTGAAGAAAAACCTAGATAGTATATATCATGAGAACTGAATGAATCCTCGTTAGTTTTTATTTTCATTTTTCACCATATATACTTTAAAACAAAATATAAAATCTGTGAGGAGTACAGTAGATCAAGATCAGATGGTGTAGAGAAACTTACTGGGAGAAATGGGATCAGAGCTTGTAATTTGAGGCCCACAAGAAATGAAGAAGAGATAGGGAGAGAGTAATTGATTGTGTGCTTCAGTTCAACAACTTTCAGTTCATCTACCCCAACAACAAGAAGATGATATTTATAGATCAGAGGGAGGCAGCTGGGAGCTGAGATGTAATTATTAGAGCAGTGTTAATTAGTAGTTATGTCTAGTCATTTATTTATTTATACTGAAATATATATCTGGGCTAAACCTTTGGTAATAATTGAACTCGTGATATTCTGATATAAGAATTATGTTTTATCCCTTCTAGGGTCTTCAATATATACTTATAAATTATTTTATATCAAAAGTTTAACAATAATATCTACACTCGTATAGTATGTGGAGGTGAATGTAAAACTGAGATTGAGCTGAGGGAAACTCCAACCAAGTAATTAGTCAGACAGTTGACTTAGATAATTACAATGTTACAAATTCAACTCTCAATGAAATGACATATTGGCCTTTTTGGTTTGAGACGATCAGTTATGCACAATTTAAGTTAGTTTACCTTATTTTGATATTTTAATCTACCGACCAGAAGCACAAGACAGAATTTCATTATCCCATACACACCTCCGAATAGTAATTATAAATTTTTTTTCGGACACTCAAAAATATAATTGAGATTGAACATAAATCGACTAATAATAATATGTGCGCGCGTATGTATATATGTAGCTAGCTAGCTCGGACTCTGAGTTTAATTTGTCTTTGCTCCAACATCCCAAATGTGTTGTTTCCTCATATCATTGCTTGTGGGTTTAATTACGCTCCAAAAGGTGTCTCCAGTTGGAACATAACTTTTCTCTTAATTACATGTCTTCGTTTTTTTTTTTTTTTTTTTTTTTTTTTTTTTTTTTTAAAAAAATTTTTTTTTTGGCACATTGGCAGAATTATAATTCATTTTATAAGCTTTTATTTTAAAAGTAGGTTTCACCTTTAGACGGTCTTACACAAGACTTATTCTAAATTTACAAGTCAAAATTAGTTGCAAACTTATACTACGGAGTACTTGATTACAAGGTTATTGGTACAATTGAACTTGTTTTAATTAATTGTACTGTATATATAATTTCAAACAAAAAAAAAAAGCAGGTTCTCTAAATTTTGAACATATACATATGTATTAGTGTATATCTAAAATTGCAAAGGATATAGCATGGAATTAAGGAGGGACCTTATATTTTGATTTGGTAGGAAACAAGATCCTAAGTTGATGTGGTTTGCCAATAATCTTGAAGCTACCCAAATAGATTATTATTTTAGGCCGTTGGCTCTTGTGCCAGTCCAAATGATATAATATAATGTTGATTATAATGCTCATTGTGAAGTTGTTCCAGTGCAGCTTTAGTAATCAGTAATTCAGTATAGTCTCTCTCTCGGATGTTTAAATACTATGCGTGGTTCACTAATGATTTTAATAATAGTGTTCAACCTAATTGGATGATGTATTGTCTTAATTAAAAAAAGCTATGTTGATAGTGAAATTGCCATAAGTTTGACAGATATATTATGTATCAACTAAAAGTTTAAATTAATAGCTTAATTACACATTTATATTTATATATTATGGTTAAAATATCTCATAAGGGTCCCCATTCATAAGATGAATGAAGTTTTTTAATAAATTTCATACTTTCACTCATAAGTATTATAATTTTTCAATTCTTACGCTTTCTATTACTTTCTCAAGTAACAAACAACATATTTTTTCATAAATAACTATTCAACATCTTTTGATTATTAAATTTTGATTTCAAAATATTATATTTTTCCTCACAAATTTTACACACTCCTTTATAAATAACAAACTATTTATTACTAATTAACATCATAAGTATTACATTTTTATTTTGACCAAACTTATCTCACAAATAAAAATTATATTTATTACTGATACTCACCCTTATACTCCGGTATTATATTTATGCTCAATGGACCACCATTTACTCTATGTAGTGGTAGATAGAAGTTCCAACCACCCCATAACATTTCAGTTGAACGAATTCTTTTATTTTTATAAAAAACCTGGAAACGTTATGAACCTCGAATTCTGGAAACGTTGATATCCCTATCCCAGGAATCTGGAAACGTTTCCAGATTTCTGGAAGGTATCTGTTTACAAAGTTCCAGATTTTGGATCCAACTAACTTTTCCAATCCACTAAACAGAAAACTTTGTTGTACTCCCACCACTGTATAATAAAAATAGTAACAACATCTCAATTGGACACAGGGTGAAGTTTGAAAATAATGATCTGAAATCAAGTCTCACCAGTAACAGTGTGGAAATAACTTCTCAAAGTGAATGACTCTTTGTGCACAGTAAAATCTAACCTCTGTATTCAGCTGAATTACCATAATTTGTATCATCCCAATGCTCTGTCGGACCGGTGTGTATAGACCCTTGGGATTGGGGATTCAACTTTTTGGGGAAGAAAAATAGTAGCAGCAGTATCATTTGGATGAAGAATATATATATATGTTGAGTGTAAGTACAGTATAAATTAAAGGTTTGGAAAATAGGGAAGCATTATTGTAAAGTGAGAGTGAGGTTCACCCCTATTAAATACCAGATGACTCAGAATACACACATGCCATCCTGAAAAATACACAGAACAAAAACCAAAAAAAAAGAAAAACTCTGAAACCAAAAAGCTTTTTTCTCCAAATCGCCTGGGAACAACGTCCATCCCCAACTCCGCCCTACATACTGTATAGAGGAAGCAAGAATATACATGGCAGACCAACATTACACCCGAATGAATGCACAGCTGTACCATTATAGGAAGGCAGATCAGATGCATATAGCATGGTGAGTTCTCAGCATAGCCATAGATACACAACCCGAAAGCTAGCTTAAAACTTGATCGCACTCAAAAAACAGGATGAAAGTGCTTCGAGTAACACGTACAGATTTTCCATCCTCGAGAAATAAACTAGGATATATAGTAGTTGTAAGCAAAAGAGAGTATGTAGTTGTTGTACTAAGAAGTTGACATGCACACGTCCATCTTGGGCTGCAGGGCAGGGAATTCGACTTTGTGTGCATGCCCGGTTTTCTGAATTGGATGTAGTGCAATCCCGGGAGTCCAGAGATAGAACCCATATACAATTTGTCATTGCAACGTGATATATGATTTATTTCCTTAATTGTGTACCGAAAGTTACTCTCTTAGCAGCTTCTTGTTTGGCTTAGTGGGTCATAATCATAAGCATCACCAGGCTTCACAAACCGTCCCTTCACACGCCTCCTAACATCAGCTCGGGCCTTACGGGAAGCATACCTCACTCGCTTGTCAAATCTGTCATTTTTTGAACAAAGGATTGCATTATGTTGAGCATATAATATATAACCATAAATATGCAATCCAACTATCAGGCATCAGCTTAGACTTTTAGTTGAGACGGAGCACATGCTTCAATTCATTACACTCCCCAGGATCATCAGAATGTGAACAAAAGCATGGAGAAGGCTTAGGTTTTCTTTTCAAGGAAAATACAAATCCAAATATGGCATATTAAAGAAAGCAAGTAGGATGCTTATAAACTATAGTGGCTTCAAATTTAGAACAGGAAACCCCTCCCAACTTTCCCCGCTCTCTTCTTCATTTTTGTACAATGTGAAGTGATAAAGATTAATGCAGACATACAAGGAATTAGGGGGATGCCCGTGTTTGTGCTATGGTTCTTGGAACTTAAAAGTTAAAAGAAGAGAGAGTTATTCTTACTGGCGTGTCTTCTTCTTTTCTTTGTAGCGCAACACAGCATCAGTCCTGCTACTTGAAGGCAATGAATTTTCAGGACCCGAGGGACCCCATGGTGGCTCTCCCATGAGGAGCATCGAGGAAGCTCCGCAGTCCTGATAATCTCCACCACTGCTCTCTCCAGTGATGTTTGAGAACGAGATGTTGGACTGCCCTTGTCTTGCAAAGCACAGGTTAGGTTCGGTCTTGCAGCTCATCACAGAATCTGCTGATGCAGCATTGCTGCATGCTGGTTGATTTGCATTTGCCCGTCCAATTGATGACCCCTGCCATAAATCACAACATCTTAGAATTTCATAGATTCAAAGGTTCCTCCAGAATCAAGAAGGGTTTCAGGAAAACAGGTAAAATTGTTAACAAATAATGCCGGTAATGCTCATGCAGGTCCACAAAACAAACCAACTACTCCTTTAGTCCCATTTTGTATGTTTTGTTCGTATAACAAGTCTATTTACAATTCAAATTTTTAATATTTAACTTAGTATTAGTGAATAAAAGTTATATACTCCGTATTTAAAAACTACATTAAAAGTCCTACTAAACACAGAATCCAAATTTGAAAATTAAAGAAAATATTCAAAGAAAGTTTATTTGAATAAGAGTGACAGGAGTATGTTATTTGGCCTGCTAAGAAACTCTCTAATCCATTCAGGTTAAGCTGGGTACCATTATAGGCCTTGAGTGTGAGAAACTGTAATAAATACCACCACCATAACACCATTATAAAGGTGAAACAATAGTAAAAGCAATAATTGATGTTTCATATATATATATCAATTAGAAAATTTAGTTGAACTAGTTGACATATAACACCGGCAAACACATAAAGCGCCATCAGCCGACTTCTTAAAAATCATTAGCTGGGTACCATTGTAGGCCTTTAAGCCAGGTTAAAATATTAGCTAGAATTATACTAATATTTCAAATCTTGGTGTCAAAATTACCAAAGGGTTAAAAGGTTTTGCCATAATTCTCACAAGAAGCAAAGATTTGGAATTTTTTTCACCAATGGGCTTTCAAAGAAATATTTATAACAAAGAATGTAGCAGCAGTGGAAGGGAAAGTAAAGTAGAAATCGACAACACTGAGTGAGTATGAAATATCACATATTAGGACCAAACGGACATTAATAATTGATAACACAAGAAGTTCAAAGAATATATTGATACTGATTATTTTAGTAGTTGATAAATCTTGATGTGGAGGAATTAAGTTTTTGTTATCATGTTATCTAAAAATAAGTAAAGAATATGCGCCTTGCAAAGACTTGATTATTATATTGAAACAT